AATGAGTATAGCTATGAGGCTCAGTGGATAGAGTGCTGGGCCTGGAGTTGGGAAGACTCATCTTCATGAATTCACATCCAGCCACAGACACTTACTTGATGTGTGATGCTGGGCATATCACTTTACACTGCTTGCCTCAGTTTCCTCATTCATAAAATGAGTTGGAGAAGGAAATGGCAAGCCACTTGAGTGTCTGCCAAGAAAACCCCAGATGGGGTCACAAAGAGTCAGATATGACTGAAATGATTCAACAACAACAAAGTGGTATTAAACTCAGAGAGCTAGATATGGGGGGCCCCTGAATCACACCGAAGGATCCTTTCAGGCAGCATGTTGACTTAGAACACCACATATGTTTAGATATTTTTTTTTATTACTGCAGCAGCATATTAAAATCAGCTAGGACCTACAATTTAATCTGGTTCTGGCCATGCATGGGACTGTTGTGGACCACACATGGCCTGTGGGAGGTGCGTTTGACCACTCTTATTTAGTCCATCCCCCTTATTTCTAGATTCTATAACTAAGGCTCTGAAATATAAAATGAGTTAGCTGAGAGGTCCTAAGAAAAGGTACAGGTGACTTCCACAAGTGAAATCTGTGTTGCATACCACGTGGAGAGATTTTAGAGCATGTCAGAGGGCAGAAACTCATGGGGCACACCAAAGGGAGAAGTGTGTGAGAAGACAGAAACTAGCCACAGGCTTAGAGCTAGAGGGGCTCTTTGAGGTCATTGGGTCTGAAGCTGGCCTTTTACAGATGAGGAAGCTGGGGCCCTAGAGAGGGAAGGTGAATTGCCCATGGTCACATAGGTGGTTAGTATCAGAGTAGGTTTTCAAACTCAGGTCCTCTGACTGCAAATCTAGCCCTCTTTCCAGTGTACCTTACAAAAATGTTTTCCCTTGCAACTTATTTGGTGGTAGTGGTGTGCATATTTCTTAAGTGTCTGAAATGTGCCTAGCACTGAGTTAGGTACTGGATACAAAAATGATGTGCAAGACTGTGGATGTGGGTGTAGTGCCAACCTACAACTCTGTAGATGAACCCTTGGGAAACAAGACGGTTTGTCCTTGAGAAGTCTCTTTCCTTATAAAGGCTGCTTTCTTTCAGGTCCTCTCATCTGTCTTCATGTCCAAGTACAAAGGGGCTGCTTTGTCAGTATTTCACACCAATGTCTTTTTTGTTTCCATTCCAATAAATAGAAATGTTCAAATTTCTAAAAGTATCATCTTACCCCGAGACAAAAATGTCCACTGTCTTCAAGGAGCTGACATTCTAAGGGGGAAGGGTGGCATGTAGATATCAATCAGTCAGTCAATAAACCACAGACAAGAAGACTCTGTGGGTTGAGTCAATTCAGGATGCCACCTACTCTGAGGGAAAAAAAAATTAGGATACTAGGAGGTTACTGCTTCTCAGGAAGTCACCACCATGAGGAGGAAACAGGATGAGAAGGACTCAAGGGTGATCTCATCTGGAGTGTTGTTACCAAGGAGAATAAGTGACTCATCCAGCAGTTTCCTGTTTATTCTTGCTAACTAGGTGGTAAATTTATTTATTTCTATCCATTGAAGGATTACAAGCACTATTGGCACCCTCTAAATGTCAGTACCCTCGGGCAAAGCTCCAGTTACCCTACCTTAGTTCTAGCTCCACACCTTTTATTTTTCTGATTCTGTGGGGGGAATGGAGCCCCTGAGCTGCCTCTAGAACTGTGTTAAAGTGTTCCTATCCCTTTTCAGGGGATAGGAACTGCTACTATTAGGAAGTAGTTTATTCTCAGTATTTCTTGCCAACTTTGCCCAGTTATAAAGGTGGGAGAACCCTTAATGTTTCCCTAATGGTTTACAAGACCCTAGATAGATGGGTGCCTCGAATCACAGGAAATGCAATTGGGGGAGGAGCTAAGCCTTGCCAGGAGGGTTCCTGAGCATTATTCATTCTCTTCTGTTTCAGTGGCTCCTTGGTGACTGGAGCCTGGTTCCTTGGGAAACGGGGCCTCTTTTTCAATGCCTAACTGGACATATAAGAGAGCTAAGCCAGGGGCCCTTGCCAATTCCTTCAGGGAGTTTTTAAAGAGGCCTTGCCAAGCTGAGAAACCACGTGTAGAAGATAATGATGACTGCCACCAACGAATAAGGCTAAGCCTGGCGCCCATGACATTTGGCATGGGGCTGGAGGTCATTGCCCTCCCCCCTCCCATTTTATTTCCATCCTCTTTGATGAGTCATTAATAGCGCTTCAGGGAACACAGAGGGCTTTTATAGGCATCATGGTCCGGCCTCAGCAGGGTTTCCAAAAAGAAAATATTTCTGGAGTAGAAAAATCCTTAGAAGTGCCTCTAATAGGACATATTTAAATTTCCATCAAGGGGCATATTTATCTAGAGAAGTTATTCCTAACACTTTCAGGTCTCAGTGAAGTATAATGTCTCCCTGGGAATTTAGAATATATCTAAAGGGTATATTTGGTTCTGACTGTACCCAGCCCACCTCTGATGAGCAGAGATTTGGGGGATGACTGATGGAACAATAGCATGTGCCTTCAGCCATCCTGATTGTTTGTCATTACAACACTGGAAATTTCCAAGGGGAAATCAAAAGAAACCTATGGATACAGCCATGTAAGAAAGAGTCTGGCTATTTTTAATGGCAGCCTTTTGTCTGAAGATCTCAATCTCTGCTTGATGGGATTTGTTGTGGTGAAAAAAAAAAACAATTCCAGTGAAGGAAAGGTTCTGGCGCAGAGATGAGAGCAAGAATCAACTTGTAGCTGCCCCTGCTGTAGGCACCTCCCCAACACTGAGCCTTTTAAGTGGACCCTTGGTTTCCCAGCCTTGTTTTTCTGCCTTTGTGCATAGATTTCCAAATTACAATGAGAAGATCCTAGGAATAAATGAACGAAGCTTGTATGATCTCCAGATTTCCAGGATGGGGAGGGGGGTTTGAAGTAGAAGAAGGCCTGCCAGCTCAAATACTCTAGAGAAGGTTTGAAAACAGATACATACACAGATGTGAATAATGTATAGGTGGTGTGATCTAAGTGTACACGTGGTAGTGCTGCAGAACCTATACTCTTCCACACCTGACTCATGTCTCTGTTTTCTACACTCTACAGAGGAGCAGGCTGCTACTTAATAAATTCACTAGCTGGGAAGTGTAGTATATGCTTTGGCCATAAGGTGGTGCTATCTTCAGGACCCAAACTATATGACTTCATCAGCAGATGGCCTTAAGTGTACAATGCTGGCTTTCCCAAAGGCCAGAGTATTCCTACTGCTCGTTATAGGGTCCTTAGATTACAAAGAGTCTGACACAACTGAAACAACTCAACAACCACAGCTAGCCAACCCCCTACCCCTATTGTGTCAAGCACTCGTTGTTTGTTGTTAGTTCTCCGTGAAGACCAGTGACGTTGCCAGGATGATGTCTTGACTTGCTCGTGAATTGGATTTAAATGAGGCAGAGCTGCACAAAGTCAACAGCCTCACTCTCTCCAAAGCTCATGAGGTGGTAGTGATGGTCCCAGATTTAATATAGATACAAGATTATGATCTAGAAGATGTTCCAAAATTAATAAAATAGGAAACCTTTTTTCTCTTCATTCAACTCCCCACCCTGCTATCAATCATAAAGACTTAGATGATTGATTTTGACAGGTTACATGACTTATTAAGACACTATAAGGGGGAAAGGGTAGCATAGCTAAAAAAAAAAAAAAGGAACGAAGGAGTTTTTGAATAGCAGAGCTATAAAGAAATCATTTCCTCCAACTGGCTGTCCTTTGACCTGCTGACTATTCTCACTGATCAGGTTATGGGGAGAGAATTGGAATTCCATGTTTGAAATTTCCCAGAACTGGCTTGGCAGGCTGACCAGGGAAAATGGAAGAAATGCTAAAATTTCAGAATGAGCCCTTTAGTCTGATCTTACTTTTCTGGAATTTCATGGCAGCATCCAGTCCTGTTCAGTATTGCAATAGTACAGTCTCTTTTTGCCAGTCTGACTTACATCCCCAAGGTCCCAATCCTGCCTCCACTGTGGATGAGCTAATCAGAGGTCTCCAGGGTCTGAACCATCCCACCCTGTAATGCTTTGTCCTCATGGCAGTTCCCAGAAACCTCTCTACTCCTATACTCACTGAGCATCATTCATGGAATGGCAGATTAGAAATCTCTCCCAAGTGAAATCCTCAAAACCATCCCAGGAGGCAGTACCAAGTTGTATGCCCATATGCAATATCTTCCTTTGCCTTCCATGGTTTCATCTCAGTCTTGAAATTACACCTGGATTGTGGTTGTAAACCCTGCTACAATGGTCCCTAAGGAAAGTCATTTATCCTTTTTGAAGGTCATTTGGGAATCAATAGAATTCATAACACAGTTGGTAGATCAATTTTTAAAACTTATAATATTCCTACGTGTCCTATAGGAACCACTACGGTGAATGGTCAGGTAGTCAGTTATTCATTAACCACCTACTGTGTGCCAGGTACTGTGCTAAACACTGGGTGGTGTCAAGGGGGATGGAGGGAAGAGAATAAGCATTTATAAAGCTTCTACTATGTTCCAGGCACTGGGGATGCAAAGGAGGAAGGAGAGAAAGAAATAAGTATTTACAAAGCTCCTACTCTGTGCCAGGTACTGTGCTAAATAAACACTGAGAATATAGAGAAAGGCAAAAGACAGTCCCTGTCATCAAAGAGCTCACAATCTAATGAGAGAGACAACACGTAAAGAACTATGTACAACTGTGTATATACAGGATAAATTGAAGATAATCAATAAAGGAAGGGACTAGAATTAAGAAGGATTGGGAAAGGCTTTATATAGAAAGTGAGGTTTTGGTTAGGACTTAATGGAAGCCAGGGAAACTGTGGTGTAATGAAGAGAGCCTTGGGCTAGGAGTCTAGAAACCTGGGTTCTAGTTAAGTTTCTGCAACTCATTTGTTTTGTGGCACTGAGTGAGTAACCTCACTGCACTCTGCCTCAGTGTACTCACCTGTAAAATAAGAGGCTTGGGCTATGTGATCTCGAAGGCTCTTTCAGTTCTAACATTCTTGGATTCTATATCATGAGTATGCGAATTACCTAAGGATATAATCCAAAGTTTTACAATAATTATTCTGCCTTATACGTGTGTAACCTGCATGTCAATTGAGGACAGGTGGACTGGGTTTCATCTTTGAGACATCAGTCATGATTACACCCTGCTCTTCCCTCCACCCCTCTACCCTGCTAAATCTGGGAACATCTCAATCTGGTTCATTTCTAGGGCATCTGAATAAGATTACCTGCTAACAAGGCAACTAATAAGCATTTTGAGCATAAACACATTTATTATGAAAGAGATAAGGCCATAAGTGGACCTCAGATCTGAGTCCAATAAAAAGGAATAAACATAACATTAATAGGAAAGTAATTAAAATATGGACTCTGAGTCCCCTGACCAGAAGCTGATGGCAAAATTTTTTTAATTGTAGTTTTTAATATATCTTTCTTTCTAGATGTCTCCCAATTATCTCTCTCTACTGCATTAATAATGACACAGAGATTAATAGTGCACTGGTCAATCACATTTATCCCAACTGTAGGCCTAAGAGATACATGGCAGCTAGGTGGTGCAGCAGATAGCACTGGACTTGCAATCAGGAAGGCTCATCTTCCTGAGTTCAAATCTGGCCTGACACTTACTAGGTGGCAAGTCACTTAACCCTGCTTGCCTCAGTTTCCTCACCTGTAAAATGGGCTGGAGAGGGAAATGGCCAACTACTCCAGTAGCTCTGCCAACCCCAAATGGGGTCACAAAAGTGATTTGACTGAACAACAACAACAACAAGGCTTAACAGACAAAGTAAAACAGAATGGTAAATAAACCTTTAAGAAACAGTCAAGTATCCCAGGGAGAAACAGGTGTGTCTGGCTCCTTTCCAAGAGGAAACTTGGAGAATGACCACCTTGGGTCTTGCCTTCTGGATAGGTGTCAGCAAAGGAGGATCTGCTCACATATGCCTCATGGCTCCGGAGATCTGGCTGTGGCCTCCTCAGACCTCCTTGCTGTGGGCCCTTTCCCACTTCATGGTGAATGCTAGCTCTCCAGTTTCCCTCTTGAAGCTTTGTGCAGTTTCTTCCTTCTCCATTCTCATAGCTTCTGAGGAAGTGCTGGCACCCTTTCCTGCCTCTGTGGGCTCTCTCCAACCCTATGGATTTCCCTGGCTTAGCTTCCTTACCTCTCAGTCTCTTTGGATGGGTCCTAACTCTCTGACCTCTCTTTTTCTGTTCCCTTTGCTGGATCCTCTTCCAGATCACTCCCTCTAACCATAGGCATCCCTCAGGATTCTGTCCTGGGTGCTCTTCTTCTCCCTCTACTACTTCACTTGGTGATCTCACCAGTTCCCATGCATTTAAATACCATCTCTATGATGATGATTCTCAAATCTACCTATCCTGCCCCAGACTCTCTGCTGACTTCCAATCTCACATCTCCAATTATCTCAGACAGCTCAAACTAGATGTACAGTAGACATCTTAAACTCAATATGTCCAAAATAGGACTCATTATCTTTCCCCCTAAATCCTCTCTTCTTTCCTATTACTGTACAGGGCATTAGCATTTCCCCAGCCCCTCAGGCTTACAAAGTGGGAGTCATCCTGGACTCTTAACTCTCTCCCACCACTCCACCATCCAAGTTCTTGCCAAGGCCTGTCAATATGATCTTTACAACATCTCTTGAACATGGCCCTTTCTCTCCTCTACCACTCTCCTGCTACCACTTTAGTTCAGGCCCTCATCCCCTCATGCTTGGATTATTGAAACTGTCTGCTGGTAGGTCTGTCTGCCACAAGTCTCTCTCCATTCCCAATCCATCCTCCATTCAGCCACCAAAGTGATTTTCCTAAAGTGCACCTAAAATCACTTCCCTACTCAACAAATTCCAGGGCTCCTTATTGCCTCCAGGATCAAATACACAATCCTTTGTTTGGCATTCAAAGCCCTATATAACCTAGGGGAAACTAGATAGCACAGTGAAGAGTACCAGGCCTGGAATCAGGAAAACTCATCTTCCTGAGTTCAAATATGACCCTCAGACACTTACTAGCAATGTGACCATGGGCAAGTCACTTAACCCTGTTTGCCTTCATTTTCTCATCTATAAAATGAGCTGGAGAAAGAAATGGCAAACTATGCCAGTATCATTGCCAAGAACACCCCAAATGGGTTCACAAAGAGTTGGACACAACTAAAATGACTGAACAAATTTTAAAAAAATCATAACCTAGCTCCTTTCTACATTTTCAATCTTTTTATACCTTACTTCCCAACACATATTCTTCAATCCAATGACACTAGTCTCTTGGCTGTTCCTTGAACAAGACGATCCATGTCTCAGCTATGAGCACTGTCTCTGATTGTCCTCCATTCCTGGAATGCTCTCCCTCTTCTGCTCTGGCTACTGACCTCCCTGGCTTCCTTTAAGTCCCAACTAAAATCCCACCAGCAAGCCTTCTCCAACCCCTCTTAATTTCAATGCCTTCTCTCTCTTGATTATTTCCTTTTTATCCTGTATATGGCTTGCTTTGTGTTGCTATCGTATCAGAAGTCCCCAGATGTTGTTGTTCACATATTTGTTTGAGTGTTGTCCATTAGATTAGCCATTGTTGGCCATTGTGCATTCCATTCGATTGTAAGTTCCTTGAGGCCCCGTACTGTCTTTTGCCTCTTTTTGCATTCCCAATGCTTAGCACAGTGCCTGGCACATCGTAGGCATTTAATAAATGCTTATTGACTAACTGACCCTGTTGAGCCTTCTACATAAGTTGTGGGCTACTCCTCATGTTCAGCAGAGTGTTTTGGATGCACAGGACCTTTGTCTCCATAGTGGCTCTCCCCGACCAGTGATGGGCACTGAATTCATAACTAGCCAAAGCTACTACCCTTCTCTGATTGGTGCTGTTTGTTGTTCAAGTAGTTTTCAGTCATGTCTGACTCTTTGTGACCTTTTCTTGGCAAAGTATCTTGGCAAAGATACTGGAGTATTTTCCTTCTCTAGGTCTTTAGGGGCATCCAATTTAGCAGTTCTCAGCCTTATTATATGTAACAATCTTATGCTGTTGTCCATCTATACCTAGAATCATGATCTTAATAGTCTCAAAACTTATCCATAAAAGCCATTTTTGAGGTCAAGAACCCTAACTTGTAAACAGGATAAATCTCACTGTCAGTAAGGTTCTTATTGACAAATGTAATAGGATTCCATTGGTTATTTCCCTCCCTACCCCCTTCTCTTCTCTCTTCTTTCTCTTTCTCTTTCTTTTTTCTTCTCTCTCTCTCTCTCTCTCTCTCTCTCTCTCTCTCTCTCTCTCTCTCTCTCTCTCTCTCTCTCCCCAAGACTTTGCATGTGTTTGTATTTATTCACTTTATTTTATGCTGTACATATGTTTTATGGATTGTTATCTCCCCCATTAGAATATAAGCATCCATGAGGTCAGGGACTGTTTCATTCTTTGTACTTGTATCCTCAGCACCTAGCACAGTGCCTGGCACCTAGTAAGTGCTTAATAAAAAAAAATTGTAACTGATTGATTGATTATTCAAGGTTTAATTGTTCACATATTTTAATTTTTTCAGTTTTCTTTACTGCTACCATGTGTAAAGCATACAAACTATGGGAAGCTTAGGCTGGGAAATGAAGGTAAAATGGTAGGATCATCCATCTGCTAACTCTTGCACATGCTACTAAATTCTATAATAGGTTTCCTCCCCCTCACCCCAAGCACTCACTTTCTCATTTTCCTATTTCAATGTTCTTGTTTATAGGTGATTGTTTAAGGTTAAACCAGAATAGGATGATACTTCAGACCCAAGTGATACATTGACCCAATTGGAATTAATAAACAACTTCACAGTGGTAGTTAAATTGATAATAAATTTTCTGGCTGCTAATGGCACATCTTCTTTGACTCTGCCAGAAACTGAGAATAGAATCAATGGAGGAAAGAAGGAAAGAAAGCTCTGAGAGAAAAGTCATGAGAATGTCATTCCTAGTTATCAGCCTGCCCTGGGAAAAATTATTTAACTGAGATATATTTTTTGAATCAGCAGCCTCCTCTTTCTTTTCTCCTTTCTCCTTTCTATAGGCCTCTGTCCTTCCAGTCTATTGGCATTTTTGTCCTCCCTTCTATCTGATTCCCACCAGAAGACCATCCACAATGCTTAAGTGGAAAGTGATCTTACGCTTCTCAAGTATTTTTGACTGGACCTCATTATTGCACTTCTTATCTAGTATCATAATTTTGCATGTATCATTTTATTTCTCCTGTTAGATTACAAGCTCGTTGAAGGCAGGTACTGTTTTATTTCACCCTTGAATGAACAGATACCTGATATATAATGTAGTAAATATTTTTTGATGTAATAGAAAAACTGTTCACCAAAAACTTTCCAACATCACATATTGACCAGTTCCCTATGAAATTAAGTCAATGTCACTCCTCAGAAGTATTTGTACTCTATACTATTTGTCTCATCAAAGAGTAAAAGGTGATTCAAGCCTCCCTAAGTACTTTACTTGCAGTTATGGTAGCCTCTACCAGAAGAATGAAGATATTTCTGTTTAGAATCCAAACTTTAGATCCAATGACTAAGTGCACTTCAAGAGTTGGTAACAAAATAGATTACCACACAGCTTAATGTCTAATCGCTTGTATTTCTGTATAAAACATTTTTTTAGCTACAAATTTATATGTAGTCTTAATTTTTACTTCTTTATTAAAAAAAAGAATGCCTTAGCTAGAACAAGGGTTACAGGCAAAATGTACTCCTAAGTACAAATAGAGCACTTTTCTTACCACTTAACTGTTATAAACTTTAATAATATAAATCTTTAGTGTATACTGCTCTGCTCAACTTAATTTTCTTCTCTTCTCACAGACCCACAAGCTACCTCAGGTTACTTTCCAAGTTCCTGACTCATTTTTCTCGTCTTATTTTTGGCTTTTCTTTAAGATAAAAGTGCTAATTTCCTTCTTAATACTTCCCTGTTACTCTGTAGATACTGCTATCTCTTCTCTCTGGCTGGGATAGGGAACTC